AAAACAATTCTCATCAGCAAACAGACGTCGTGGCAGCGACGTTTTAATTTACCGCACAACTTACTTTGCAATAACCCACAGAGTACAATTCTCTTAATAAATCGGTGGTTTTATTGCTGTTTATTTTATTTTAAATTTCTCGCCCTTTACGATAGATGGCGTGATTTTAAAAATATGTTTAATTGACAGATAGGAGCTTTTTTTATTATTATAAATTCAATAGAGGTAATTTATATGTACTGGTAGATAATATTATTAATGTCTTATTTATTTACTTGTCCTTTAATCTATATTATCTATACTATTATAATAAAGCGTAAACACCCACTTCTTTGTTGCCTAAGATGTCAGAAATTACAGCGTATTTTTGGATAATTCTTTTTTTTCTAAAAAGCCCTACACTTACGTCACCCTTTGGGCTATATATTTCACGCCATTAAACTTAGGGTGTTAATATTTTGGATAAAAACCTTAATGTGGGAGAGAGACCATAAGTTGCTGCCAACATCAAGGCAGCACGGTTGCCATGGTTTGTCATCATGTCATGTCATTTTGACATTTGCAATTGATAATTTGATGTAAACAACGAAATAAAATTTTCATAATTTTATGCGGATGAAGTCGCACGGGAACAGCTAGTTATAACATAAAAAAACTAAATAAAACAAACCGATTTAAATGTAAAAACTTCTAACATCTAACTTAAATATAACTTTGTAATAAAGTTTACGCGTACAAGTTTAAAGTTACCTTTACTACATATTTTAATTTAAACTTCGAGATATGTTATGCATAATAACTATCATATGGAAAACTTTAAAATTGACAACGCAGTACATATAATTTACTATATTTTGATTGAAAAACTTTACAATAGTAAAACATTTTAATCTTCAAACATTGCGAATTACAAAAGTAAAATATTCATATCATATTAATATAATAAACTAGCTTTCACTCGCGACTCCGATTAAAAAAAAATAAACGTGAGTAGCCTATGTGTTCTTCCAGGCTATCCTTTACATCAAAATTTCATCAAAATCCGATCAGTCATTTAGGCTACAAACTCTAATAAACATCCATCCATCCATCCATGCATCTAATTTCGCATTTATACTATAGTATATATTATAGTACGAAGTATGGTGTGAAAGTTTAGATGGATGGATAGATGTTTGTAGCCTAAGCTGCTGAACCGATCTTAATGAAATTTGTCATAAATTTAGAGGATAGTCTGGAAGAACACATAGGCTACTTGGTTTTTTTTAAAACCACGCGAACGGAGTCGCGGGCGTAAGCTAGTTTTAATTAAACACACTTTTATGAAAATTGATGTGTACTTAAAATACAGAGAATACACAACTCAATCAAATGGATGTGTTTTAATTCATAACAATGTTAAAAGCATTGGGGTACTCAATCACAATTATCCATTTTATTTGACAAAATATTGATATTTACAACATTACTAGCCTTCGCCTGCAATTAAAAAAAAAGCAAAAGTAACTGGTCTATGTGTTCTTCCATGCTATCCTCTACATCTACGCCAAATTTCATCCAGATCCGTTTAGAATAGGCTACACACTCTAACAAACATTTAAACTTTCGCATTTATAATATTACTAGCTTTCGACTGCGAGTCCGTCCGCGTGGAATAAAAATCAAAAATAAATAGCTTATCTGTTCTTACAGACTGTTCTCTA